GCCGCTCTGCAGCCGGTTGTAGCCGCTGTCGCTCAGCCCCGGGTAGCTCTGCAGGGCAGCCATGTTGCTCCTGGCACACGGCGGGTAATCAGACAGGTTGAGGTTGCAGAGCTGGCTCTCCCGGCAGCCAACGTTGAAGGTGTTGGGGGCCAGGTGAAAGGCTGGGGGAGAGCAGGATGGAGAGAGGAGGTGAGAGGAAGCAGAGGGCGAGGGGGTCCCCGTGCTGGAGGTGGTCGGGGAGGTGCCTGTGCTGCCTCCTGCAAAACAAAACACATGGGAGGATGTTCAGAGCCTGGGGCCACATCTGCACAGCAAGACGCTCTCATTACAAAACAGCTTAGTTTAATAAAGAAACAAGGGTGGTAAAATGGCCGCTGGAAAACTCAGTCTTTCTTGGCAAGAGCCTCTACTTTATTAATAGCATCTCTTGGTCCTTCCTGCTGCTTTTTTTGTTATGATTTTGGTTTTCAATGGAGATGTTCTTTCCTTTTAAAATAGGAGAGGAAAGCAAGCGTGTCACAGAGCATTCAGAGGCAGTGGGAAAAGCTGTAAGGAAGCACCACTCCATCAGTCAAGAGATCTGCTCTTTCCAGACGTGTTTATCTAGCCCTTTCTTTTTTTTCTTTCTTTTATTTTTATTTTTTTTTTTAAGTCTCATCTCCCTCTCCTGGTCTGCAGGAAGACCCCCAGTCAGTGGGCTGCATGGCTCCACTAAAAACATGCTTTAGCATCCACCTGGGGGGCTTGTGGCGGGAAGTGGCTGAGAGGATATTGAACTTCTGCACTGCTGAGTGTTTTTTTCATGGTGCAGCAGTCCTGATTCAAGCCAGAAGTAACACTAAAATGAAGGGACACAGCTTTGAGATATGGCCTGTTCCACTGAGCACAGAAAGGGGATGTGTCAGGCTTTTCAATCATGTGTTCTAACTGTAAAAGGGATTCCATATGTTGTATCGCTGGTGTTAACAAAATATTGATATATATGCACGTCAGTAGTATCAATGTGTTACACATTATTTATGCCATGAATTCTTTTGCACAGCAGGGATGCTTGTGTATTCTGACCTGGGTAAACAATATTCCAGAACACTACCAAGAACACTAACAAACTGAAAGTGATAGAAAGAAGCTGATGGCACCATTTGGAGCTCAAGAAGACGTTATTTAGGGGCAAGATTCTGAGTTAGAGGGAGCTTCTTGGTCAACCAGGAAAACCAGTTCTGTGCTTAAGGGAGTGCAGTTTTCTGGTATGAAACTTTCTTTTTTCCATTTGAAGTATTTCTTTTGCTTGAGATCCCTTTTCTGCATTAGGGCAACTAACACTGAAGATTCTTGTAAAAGAAGAAAAGAGGTCCTGGTAAAGTGATTTGACAAAGTGATAAGCAGAATCAGAGGAACTAAGAAGACAACTGGTGAGGTGGCATTTTGAACAGGCTAGAAGATGACAGGTGAGAGGCAAAGGGACTGGAACAGAGGGTGTTAGAGTGGGCAGCTGAAATTTAACTAAGGCATAGATTAGACAGTGAGGATCAAAAGTAAGGGACAGCTTTCTTTTACGTCACCTTGTGGAAAAATAAAACAGCAGGATTTTGAGACCAGTCTAGGTCTGCTACAAAATGCAGGAGGAGCTGAATGTATGACTGCTTGATGAAAAGAGAATAGGGGATGCTGATGGTTAAGAGATTCATTAGAAAGACAGGTTCTGTGTCAGTATATGGTGGTGAGAATGTGAGATTATCTCTCTCTACAGGAAGGACACGGAGCTGTTGGAGCAGGTCCAGAGGAGGGCCACAAAGATGACCAGAGGGTTGGAGCACCTCTCCTATGGAGACAGGCTGGGAGAGTTGGGGCTGTTCAGCCTGGAGAAGAGAAGGCTCTGGGGAGACCTTATAGTGGCCTTCCAGTACCTGAAGGGGGCTTATAAGAAAAATGGGGATCAGCTTTTTAGTAGGTCCTGTAGTGATAGGACAATGGGCAATGGTTTAAAATTAAAAGAGGGTAGACTTTGGTTAGACATCAGGAAGAAATTTTTTTACAAAGAGGGTGGTGAACCACTGGAACAGGTGGTGAACCACTGGAACAAAAGAGAGGTGGTAGATGCCCCATTCTTGGAAATATTCAAGGTCAGTTTGGTCGGAGCTCTGAGCAACTTCATCTAGTTGAAGATGTTCCTGCTAATTGCAGGGGAGGTTGGACTAGATAACCTTTATAGGTCCCCTCCCAGTCAAAACATTCTATGGTTCTATGATTCTGTGGTATCTGACTCATTCTAACATATCTAGGGTGAAAGAGAATGGAGCATTAGAGAGAAAATACAATTCTCAGAGATATCTGCATTTAAAAAAAAAATAATAAATTTGAAATCAGAGACAGAAAAGCAGAAAAACAGCTTTGGATAAGCACCAGCTGGAAAGGCTGCAGCTGGCCCAGGCAGCATCAAGCAAATGCATGTTTCTGTGTTGCTAAGTCAAAGCAGTCCTTCCTATTACCTACCATGATGATGAATGCTTATTGCTAAGCCACTGACTCCTTTTGACACTCGTTTAGAAGCATAAAAGATAAGTATTGAGTCCATTAGAATTCATGAGAAAACTTGAAGTTTTAAATGGTATCATAGGCTCTCTATACTCCCTTCTTGACCACACTGAAATGCACTTGCTAGTGCCTTTTTGCTCCAGAGTGTGTGAATTTCTAATTTAGTAAATTTGTTTAAAGGTAGGCTTCCCTGGTTCATTTAAAGTCCCTGACAAACAATCTCTGGCTAATTTTCTTGTGGTAAGTTAAGAAGGTAGCTCCTCCAGCCTTTCTCTTTTTCTGTCACAGGTTGTCAATACTTCAGCCAGATCAGCAGAAGGGAACATCTGCCTCTGCACAAGTAGCTTCATTTCAAAGACTATTATAGCTGAAATTGTTGTTAAAGTGATTTTGAACTGAGGTACACAAATACAGACACACATTTTCCTGTTAGCCCTGCATTAAAGAAGATAACCTCTGACAGAAAGGGCAGGCAGACAGCTGAGTTCATATATCATCACTTAGCTATCAAAGCTTAAAATACAGAGGTCACATAATCACAAAACAAATACAGCACAAAGTGAGATGTATTTAACCCACAGTAATTCCACACTTGATTCTTTACACCACATATTTCATGAACAAGCCTCAGACAGTGACCTACTTGCTGACAGTGTCTGGGTAAAAATAAATATGTCTACTTGTATGAGCATTTAATGATCTGTTTGAAATAAAATAAGTAGAGTAAGTTATTAACTACAATATCTTTATTTCAGTCTTACTTTATCCTATAGTTACCCTTTTAAAACTATGCAGGAGAGGAGCATGCACATCAGTTACCTCAAACATTAGGCTTTAATCATCTGCTAAAGAGTCACAATCAAGTCATACCCCTAGCTGAGGCTTTGTCTCCACAGAGATTAAGCAGGGATCTCTGATGAGCAATTAGAAGATACACTTTAATGGTTCCAAAACTGAAACACTGAATTGTACATTGTAGGTTACCCCAGAAGAGGGACTAAAGTGATTCTGCTCTGAATTATCCCTATTTGCAGGCCAGCACCCTGATGTGACCCCACAGTCATCAGGAAATTATGTTAAGAAGTTTTTTGTCTCTTTCTCTGTAACTTTATAATTATAAGGAGGTGAGAGATCTATCAACAGGAGCAAATGCCTGAGCTGACAATAATCTTTCAAGAATGCTTTGCTGTGAATGCCAACCTTAAGCACAGGACACAGCACAAGTCTGCTGCATAAGAACATAACACAGAAGCCTGAGGTTCCTGATCGTTTGCAGATTAATCTTCACACCTTTAAGTGAAATGGGAAATAAGACAAAGCAAGGTGCATCTCAGCTCACCCTCTTCAGAAGTTAGACAGCTCTGCGCTGCTCTGAACACTATTTCTGATTCACCTTTGCTGGCAGCACTAAGTCTGAGCCAAAAGCAAGCTGGACTTTTGTGCAGTTTTAACTTGGACTGTAGTCGTTACAAAGTCAGCCAAATTCTCCTAGAGATGGCAGAAAGCCCAGTGAGTATATCCACACCATACTACAGTCTCAGATACACAGATGTCTGTGTCATTTTAATGGAAAGCATGGATACAAACCAATCTAGTTAAACTGCACACAAGGCTATGTTTAGGTCTGGTTTAAGTCAAGTGGAACCACACTTAAGAACAAAATGAATCCCTCAATAAATCCCCTCTGTTCCTTTTTTCACCATTTCCCTGGAAATAATTGCCAACACCAACAGCATTTACCAGGAATGTCACAGTGTCTCTCACCTCCACACTTGTCATGATTCTAGAGTGATTAATTACTATTGTGCCCAGTCTTCTGAAGATCATTTCTGGCTCTACATATATCAGTCCCAGGTATGTGCAGGTAGCAAGTCACATTTGTGTAAAATGCATTGTTTGTAACTTCAAACTCCCCACCTTTGCATCTGAACACTGCCCTGCATGGCAGCTGAAAATGTCTGTCCTTGTAATATCCTGACACTATGTCCAGAGCTTAGCCAAGCCCTGGTACCATCCTGAAAGGAGCCTGCTCTCTGTTTGGCCATACAGGTGATAACTAAGCTGACCTTATCAAAGGGGTAGGAGCATTTCTGAAGAGTGGGGTGGATCTAGTGCAAGAAAGGTCAAAAACTACAGACTGAAGCAGCAACTGAAGCAAGAAATCATTGGTAAAGAGGAGAGGTGCAAAAAAAGAAGAATGAAACCATTGTGGAAGACAGGGAAACCCTAAGGAGAGGCTGGGGTGTAAAGGCAGAACTCCTTCCTCATGCCAGCACTCCTTGTCGTGAGCAGCACAGAGAAATGCTGGCTGTAAACCAGTACCAAATACCTGCCCAGAAGGATTAGGGAAGAAACTGCAGCTTCTCATCTGGATACAAATAAGAACTGCCATTAAAATTTCATCTCAAGTAGCTTATGACCTGTCTTCCTTCCTGTCACCTGTGTCTTTCTGAACCTTGGCAACAGTGCTTGCTGTCTCTCTACACATTCCATTAGACCCTTGCTTTTGCTTTTACCTACACTGAGCTTGTTAAGGATTATTTCAGGGTAAACTGCAAGCCCAGACATACCCAGTCCAAGGGTATGACATGCCTTAAAATGAGGGGCTGGAGTATCCTTGAAGCATTTGGCATGCCAGGGTGTCTGAAAGGCAAAGGGAACCTCTTCCACACAGGGCAGGTCACGTAGAGAACTTCCAACACTGCAGTGTAGATGGAAAACA